CAAGCGAACAAACAAGCCGCGCCGGACGCCACCCTAAACCCTAAGCAAAGGTTTGCAAGAATCGTTTTTTCCGCTTTGTGGCTTTTCTGCTGCAACAAGCCAAGGCGCGCACAGAAACGCGGCCGACGACAAAATGAAGCAAATCCATCTCTGGTTTTATTCCAAACGAGACGCGCCAGCCCAACAAACCGTAGCGGAGCGCTCCGGCTCCGCTTCGGCCTGCCCGGGCTGCGGCTTCCTTGCTCCACAGCTCCGCTCCGACTCCGCTCCGACTCCGCTCCGGCTCCGCTCCGGCTCCGCTCCGGCTCCGCTCCGGCTCCGCTCCGGCTCCGCTCCGGCTCCGCTCCGGCTCCGCTCAGCTCAGCTTTGACTCCGCTCCGGTTCTCCTGCGGCTCCGCTCCAGCTCCGCTCCAGCTCCGCTCCGGCTCCGCTCTGACCGCGCGCGCACGTCCACGACGTCTTGTCCAAAACCGGGGCGCGGTGTCTCCGCATGGGCCCGCGCGCGGCGCGGATCTCCACGGAGTTCACTGGCTCCGCGTCCATGACATTGCAGGCTTGTGAGAACTTGCGGCGTGTCAATGCGCTCAGAGCTTCTGCGCAGGCCTGTGGACATGAAGGCAAGCGCAAGAGCGGCTTCGCTCCGGCCTTGTCAGTGCTTTTAAGCTCCGCAGCCTTCCTCCGCTTTACTGGGCGAGGGGTAGCGCACACGTGGAGTTCACTGGCTTGCGCGCAACCTCCAACACTTTTCCACGCCTCCGCTCCGCGACTGAGCTCACGGCTCCGCTCCGGCTCCGCTCCGGCTCCGCTCCGGCTCCGCTCCGGCTCCGCTTCAGCGCGCTCTTAATATAAGAAGACTTGAAAGTTGGCCCCTTTCAATGCCTTTGGCGGGCGTCAAGCTTCGGCTTCGAAGCCTTCAGAGCCTTCAAATCCGCCTCCGGCTTCGGCCCCAGCTCTCCGGCTCCGCTCCGGCTTCAGCTTCACCTGGCTCCCCTCTTGCAGCGCGCACACGTCCCCGACATCAGGTCTGTCCTATCGAAAACCGGACACAATCGCTTCACATTTGGGAACTGCCAGACCGCGTGGGAAGGTCTTTCAAGGCAGGGCTGCCCCGCGCAATGTCTAGATTGTTCCGCAAAGACCCCGCGCGCGCGCAGGCTTCGACAAGGCGCCCTGCGAGCGCGCGCGCGCGCGGAGCTCCACGCAATTCACTGGCTTGCGGGGGATCAGATTGACTTGTGGCCGCATCAGATTGACTCGCCCAGTTGCACGCCAAGGACGCGGCGCGCGTGCAAACGACAAAAATAGAAAGCCATGACATCTCTGATTTCAAAAAATTGCGTTCTAAAACCTTTGCTGTTGCGAGCAACCCAAGGCCGCCACACCGCCAGTGCCAGTGTTTCAATTCAAGCAGTTGACACGCGCAAAGCTAAACCGACCTTGGACGGGAAAACAACCTGAAACAAGGGTCGGACCGAAAAATTTGCCTAATCTTTTGCTTTTTCTTCTGCGCCGCAACAAGTCCCAGCGTTGCAGGCGCGCTGAAAAAACCGCACCCTAAACCCAAGCAAAAACTTTGCAAGCAATCAGTTTTTCCGCTTCGTGGCTTTTCTTCTGCAACAAGCCAAGGCACGCGCAGGAAACGCGGCCAACGACAAAATGAAGCAAATCCATCTGATTTCATTCGAAACGAGACACGCGCCAGCCACAAGCAAACGCGCATTCTTTCGAATGAACCAGTCTTGCGCGGTGCCTAACCTGCACTTGGGCCCTAACCAAGCGCGCGGTCGATCACTTTTTCTTGCCTGAAGTCTGTTCTTTTGGAACAAGCCAGGATAGCGCAATCGACGAAAATAGAAAGTCGCCCGTGCTTCAATAAAGCCAAATCGACCTTCGACGGGAAAACGGCCCGAAACAAGCGTGCCACCCTAAACCCTATGCAAGAATCATTTTTCCGCTTTTGGCTTTTCTGCTGCAACAAGCCAAGGCGCGCAAGACAACAAAATACAGCAAACCATCTCTGGTTTTATTCCAAACAAGACGCGCCAGCCACAAGCGTGGTTTTAAACAAGACACGCGCCAGCCCAAGCAACGTTCTTAACCTGCGCTGCGCTGTTGCAGCTATCGGCAAACAAAAACACGTACAAGTATACAAACATACACACAAACGTCACAAGTCAATCTGAGGCTTCCACCTCCAAAAGGCGCGAACAACAATCTGACCCCTCTCAGCAATCCAATTTTACAAGCTGTACACGATTGATTTTTTGCGCGCAAACATTTTTCAAAGTTGTTCGCGTGAAAAACTTCGATTCTTTCTTTGCACATCTTTTTTAACAAGCTTGTTTCCCAAAGGATTTCGAATGCGAGTTGCAGCAAGTTGGAGCGAACAATTTCTTTTCAATCTCTGAAAAAGCGCAAGGCGATCGACCCCCTAAAGGGACTTCAAGTTGAAAAAGCGCGCGATTCACTGATTGAAAATAAATTTTGCGCAAAGCGATTCGACCCCCATAGGAGACTTTAGTTGCAAAAGCGTTTCAATATGCGAAAGCAGCAAAAACGTTTTTGTTTGCGCTGAGAGAGAAATTTGCACGACTTGCTTGATAAAATGTTTTGAAATTTGCTTTTTCTTCTGGCCCGCCGGACGCCAGCATTGCAGCGCGCTGAAAAAACCGCACCCTAAGCAAAAGTTTGAAGCATTTCGCTTTGTGGCTTGCAAGCCACACGTCTGGTTTTTTCCAACGAACGCGCTTTGTTTTCAAGAGGAGAAACAGGTTTGAATGTTTCCGCACGAAAAAAATCGTGTCCGCCCAAAAGGAAGGAATTTGCCGAGCGGCAATTAGGAAAAAGAATCAAAATTAAAATAAAACTATTGTGGTTTTCTTCTCTGAAAACAATAGTTTTGCGCGTAAAGCGTTGCAAGCCAAGGCACACACAGGAAACGCGGCCAACGACAAATGAAGCAATCCATCTGGTTTATTCCAAACGAGAACGCGCCAGCCACAAGCAAAAGCGCGTTCTTTCGAATGAACCAATCTTGCGCGCGGAACCTGCACTTGGGCCCAACCACAAGCGCGTCAATCACTTTTTTTTGCCTGAAGTCTGTCTTTTGGAACAGCAGGAACGTGGCAATCGACGAAAGTAGAAGTTCTCGCCATTTGTTTTCAAGAAGAGAAACAGGTTTGAATGTTTGCGCACGAAAAAATCGTGTCCGCGCCCAAAAGGAAGGAATTTGCAAAGGCGAGCGGCATTTGGGACAAGAATCAAAATTAAAATAAAAACTATTTGGGCGCGGTTTTAATCTCTGAAAATAATATTTTTGCGCGCAAAGCGTTCGAACCCCCATAGGGGACTTCGAATTGGAAAAGCGCGCGATTCACTAATGCAATATTCGCGCGCAACCCCCCATAGGAGACTTTAGTCGCAACGGCGCGTTTCAATCGCGTAAAATAGAAGACCGAGTCCTTTTCTTTTGAATGCGAAGAAGCAGAAAGAATTTGCAGGATTTGCGTTTTTTTCCTTCGAAAAAATGTTTTGTATTTTTGTAGAATTTGCGCGCGAAAGACAGCGTCCTGCGCAAAGAAAAGAAATTGAACGCCATTTTTTTGGAAAATAGAAACATGTCGATGTTTGCGCGCGAAAAAATCGTGTCCGCCCAAAGGAAGGAATTTGCGAATGCAATTTGGAGCGAACAATAACTTTTTAATTTCTGAAAACAAAATATGCGCGCAAAGCGATTCAACCCCCCATAAGGGGACTTCGAGTTGGAAAAGCGTGCGATTCACTGATTGAAAATAATTTTTGCGCGCAAAGCGATTCGACCCCCCATGGGAGACTTTAGTTGCAAAGGCGCGTTTCAATCGCGCGTAAAAATAGAAGACCGAGTCCTTTTCTCTTGAATGCGAAAAACCGAAATATTTGCAGGATTCTTTCGAAAAAATGATTTGTAATTTTGTAGAATTTACGCGCGAAAGAATATCGTCCGCGCCCAAAGAAAGGAAATTGAACGCCATTTTTTTCAAACAAATAGAAACATGTTTAATTGTTTGCGCGCGAGAAAAATCGTGTCCGCGCCCAAAGGAAGGAATTTGCGAATGCGAGTTGCGGCAATTTGGGAAAAATAATCAAAATTAATGTAAAACTATTTGGGCGCGCGGTCCCCTTTCTTTTGCAGCGAACAATAACTTTTTAATCTCTGAAAATAATATTTTCGCGCAGAGCGATTCGACCCCCCATTAGGGGACTTCGAGTTGGAAAAGCGCGCGATTCACTGATTGAAAATAATATTCGCGCGCAAAGCGATTCGAGCCCCCATGGGAGATTTGAGTTGCAAAGGCGCGTTTCAATCGCGCGTAAAAATAGAAGACCGAGTCCTTTTCTTTTGAATGCGAAAAAGCGAAAACGTTATTGTTTGCGCTCAGAGAGAGGAATTTGCAGGATTTGCGTTTTTTTCTCTCGAAAAAATGATTTGTAATTTTGTAGAACTTACGCGCGTCCGCGCCCAAAGAAGGGAAATTGAACGCCATTTTTTCTCAAAAAAATAGAAACATGTTTACGTGTTTGCGCGCGAGAAAAATCGTGTCCGCGCCCAAAGGAAGGAATTTGCGAGTGCGAGTTGCGGCAATTTGGGAAAAGGAATCAAAATTAATGTAAAACTATTTGGGCGCGCGGTCCCCTTTCTTTTGAAGCGAACAATAATTTTTTTAATCTCTGAAAAAGAATATTTTTGCGCGCAGAGCGATTCGACCCCCCATTAGGGGACTTCGAGTTGGAAAAGCGCGCGATTCACTGATTGAAAATAATATTCGCGCGCAAAGCGATTCGACCCCCCATGGGAGACTTTAGTTGCAAGGGCGCGTTTCAATCGCGCGTACAAAGAGATGAATTTCCGAAGAATTTGCTTTATTTTTTTTTATTTAATTATTTTCGTCAAAAGCGAAAAATTCGATTCCGCGCGCCCAAAGAGAGGAATTGTCGAAGAACTTTTAGCCGTCTTCCCGCGCCCGCCGTTTTCCTGCGCGGCGTTGTCCCGAAGCAGTTTCGCGTAAATGCAGGCGGCCAGGATCGGCTCCTGGCGCGCGTGGCAAGTCAACGTCATGAACCAGTGAGGAGCTCCGAGTTGCTCGTACATGCTGACCGCGACCCCTCGCTTCGCAAACAAGTACGGCTGCGTGCCAGGAATGTCCCGCATGGTGGTGTAGACGCTTCGCAGCAGAGCTTGGCGGGAACTCGCGCTCGGCTGCTGCAGCTTCCCGATGCGGACATTTGCGTTCGCAGAGATTTTTCTTTTGTAGTACTGTTCCAGCAGGAAGTGCACGTAGGACGGGTCTTGTTCGAAACGAGGCTCAGCGCCAAGCAGGCGAGACCTGGAATAGCGCGGAAAAGGCATTCGCTCGTCCCAACCGCCTTGGCCGGTTGGAAACAAGTGAGGGAAAATCTTCGTGCCATGTTCTGGGGAAGCTGCGCCAAGTCGCGGCATCGCTGAAGCTCAGGTCGCTTCGGCGGCGGGGCCGAAGGCGCGCACGCGGTTACGAACTCCAACTGTTCCTCTTGCAACTCGCCTGTGGGCTCGGCTCCGGCCTCTGCTTCGGCGCCCTGGGACAGCGCGACCTGCAGCGCTTGAATTGCTCGAGAAACATCCGCGGTCTTGTATAACTTGTGGTTGTCGCGCAAGTGCAGCAGTGCAGCGCGCAGTTTGCACGGGCTTGCCGGGCTTTGGAGCCTTGCGCCAGCCACGCTCACATAAATCTGCCCGCCCTCGGTGATCTCCACGTTGTCCAGCACGTCGCAAACGCGTGGCTCGTCTAGCGGGACCACGTACATGCGACCCCACTGTCCGGAAGCGCCTCCGGAAGGCAAACTGACGATGTACTGGGACGTGCTGGCCATGGCAATGAGCCGCTGCTCTACGTAATTCAAGCTCTTCAAGGCCGGCGGCTGGGGGCCCGGAAGTTGCAAGGGTCGGCTCTCCGGCCGGTCCTTACAATATCTGCAGTGGAGCTCGCCTTTCTCATCGAAAAAGCAATGCATGGCCGGAGTGAGAACGCGACACTTGCAGCAAAGACGACTGAGACCGTACTTCTCCCAGTGTCGCAGAAAGAGGCCGTACGCCTTCTCGGCTTCCTCGGGAGTCAGCAAGTCGCAATCCGCAACCTCTTCGTTGCAAAGGACCGGGGCATCGCCGGCTTCTTGCTTGCAAAACCGCAGGAGTTTCCTTGCCGCGAGCCTTCGACTTCCAGACTTTGCGATTGGGCCTTTGAAGGCTCGGCCCCTCCTCTCGCGCTCCACTCGGCTTGTTCGCCGCTGCGCGGCTCTGCCGCCTTCCTCTGGCCACGGCCCTGGGGCACTGCCAACTCCTGCGCTTTGCCGCTCTTCCCGCGCGGCTTGCTTCTGCGCCGCTTGGCTGCCTTCCTGAGGCCACGGCCCTCGAGCGTTGGCAACTCCCGCACTTTGTCGCTCTTTCCGCGCGGCTTGCTTCTGCGCCGCTTGACTGCTTTCCTCAGGCCACGGCCCTGGGGCACTGCCAACTCCTGCGCTTTGCCGCTCTTCCCGCGCGGCTTGCTTCTGCGCCGCTTGGCTGCCTTCCTGAGGCCACGGCCCTCGAGCGTTGGCAACTCCTGCACTTTGTCGCTCTTTCCGCGCGGCTTGCTTCTGCGCCGCTTGACTGCTTTCCTCAGGCCACGGCCCTGGGGCACTGCTAACTCCTGCGCTTTGTCGCTCTTCCCGCGCGGCTTGCTTCCGCGCCGCTTGACTGCCTTCCTCAGGCCACGGCCCTCGAGCATTGCCAACTCCTGCACTCCGCCGCTCCTCCTGCGCGGCTTGCTCCCGCGCCGCTTGGCTTTCTTCGCTCGGCCACGGCCCTCGAGCACTGGCAACTCCTGCACACTGCCGCTCTTCGCGCACGGCTCTGCTATCTGCACTTGGCCACGGCCCTCGCGCGCCAACTCCTGCACTTCGGCGCCGGGCAGCAAGCTCCTCTTTCAAATATAAGTTTTGACGCAAGGCATCCTCTCGATCTGCTTCTCGGCAAGCTTGCACTCGGCAGTAGCCTTTTCCTCTGCCCATTTTGGGCAAGCCGCACCTGGGGCACTCGCGCTTCTCTGGCGCGCTGCTTGCCGGCCGCTCTTGCCGCGCGCGGTCTTCTTCGTCGTGCTTTTCTGACGGCATTGCCACGTCCAGAGACAACCGACAAGCGACAGTCTCTTGGAATTTCGCAGAGGCAACGACTGACTGGCGACTTGTTTCAAGTTGAAAGTTGAGACCGCTGCGCAGCTGTCTAGTCTCTCTATTTGAGCAAAATGGACTCCGCGCGGGGGCTGCGAGGCGCTGAAAAGGCCCGCTGCTCACAGCGTCTTGGAGCACAAACGCAAAACTTGCCAACAACTGCGCTGTTTGACAAGAAGGGCCAAGCAAATTCTCTCTCGCGACGCTGCAATGCTAGGCTGTGGAAGGCGAGCGGAGCGGGCTGGGCAGTCACAGGCGGGGCCAACAGCAGCGCTCGCTTTTTGCCACCTGCGAAAGGCTGTCGGCAGCCGCGCTGTTCTGCGCGCGAAGGCGGCTGAACAAACTCAATGCGGTTTTCACGGCGGGGGCAAGGCAGCTGACACGCAGAGCTTCCCTTTGAAGCCGCGATAGTCAAAGAGAATCCACAAGCTGGCAGCTCGCACGGTCTCAAACACGTGGCTTTCGAAATCGTAATCCTCGACCGCGTCTCGGTAGAAGAACCTGGCCGAAGCAGCTTGAAAGAAGTCGCTCAAGCGACAGCCTTCGTGCCGCAGGCGAGGAGGCCAAGCGTTCATAATCAAGACCGCTTCCGCCGGCGAAAACCCGCCCAGGCCAGCGCCTTGCATCCAGCGCGCCATGGCCGTCTCGCTATGGTTGTTGGGAGTTGCCGCGCGCGCCCGTGGAAGAGAAGCGGCGCCGGAGATTGCGCGGCACGTTGTTGCAACTGGGCCTAGAAACCCTGGAAGGCACATCCCGGCGGAGCACAACGGAGACACTGCCTGGCCGATGGTTTTCGCGGTCGCCTCAATCTTCTCAGCTGTGGACGGACAGGCTCTTCTGACAGACTTGGACGCCAGCAAAAGTCGTTGCGTGTCTGCCGCTCCCAGCAACTCGACGAAGTGGGCTGCGACAAGGCTTTCTGTAAAAGGTGAGAGCGTCGCTGGTCGGGCGGATTTCCAACCATCTACCGGCGCGCGCGGACACGCGGGTTGCTGACGCAATCTTTGCCTTCGGACATCTTCGTAAGAGCCAGGCCAATCGTAGTCGTGCCTCCCCATTGCGCTAGGACGGGCAGACGTGCTTGAGCCAAACGAGTCTTTGACGAGCCGGTCCAGCACTTCCATCGAAAGCGGGCAGCGCTCGAGCAGGCCGTTTTCGCGAGAAGCCGTCTCTCTGTGAGCTTTTTCGCCTTGCTCACGCGATACGCAAATCGTAAATGAGCGCGCGCGGCAGAGGCGTCTGAAAAGCAACGTGCGCGCACAGGGACTGCAGTCGCAGTTGCCACGCGGCTAGCACTGAGCGCAGCCTTGAGCTTGGGTCTCGAAAGAGCAGAAGCGCAAAGGCGCAGAGCTCTGTGCAAGGCATTGGCCGCAGCTCGTACACGAACTCTTTCCAGAGAGCGCACGGGAAATCAAATTTCTGGCACGCGCGCTGCAAGCTCTGTTGCCACAGGACCATTTGGGAATTGTCATCTCGAAGTTCTCGGCGCAGGGCTCTCTCCACAAAGGCTTTGACTTCCTGCGCAAGTTCTTCCTCGCTCGCGATCTCCGTCGCGCGGTCCTGACAAGGGCGCGATCTCTTTTGCGCCGGCTCGCGACAAGCTAGTTTTGCATTTTTGCGCAACTCCGAGCCTCGTAGGCCTCGCTGGCCCCGGATTCGCCCCAGCTGCTTGCCGCCGGCGTCGAGGGGGCTGCGGTGCTGAGCGCCTCCAAGCCCGGCTCGTCCTCGTTCTCGTCTTCTGAGTCAAACATGTCTGCCCAACGGGGTCTTGGCGCGGGAAGCATCTTGAGCCGTTCGCGACTACGCCCAAGGCGGGCTGGGGCTCGCTGCTAGCGCTCGCAGCTTGAGCCGGCAAGGAACAACACTCCCGCGAAAATTTCACTGGCGTGCTCGCCGAAACCAAAGCCTGCTACGCTAGCCAAGGCGGGTCTCATTTTCGCGCGCCGCGCCTGCTTCTAGCGCGCTCGGGCGCAGCCTGCTGCACTGGCGCGCGCTTCTTTCCAAGATTGGATTTTTAGAGCCGGCGAGTTATTCTGCCGCACTCTCGCCAAGATGCACAGACGGCTGCTGCAGAAGCCATTGGACCAAGACGTTGTCGCTCTCGTTCGTCGCATCAATGAAGTACACGGGGGCGCCGCGCAGCACGTCCTCCAGGACGGTCTTGATCTGAGCCCGACACTCTTCGGTGTCAGACACTCGCAAGAGCCGCACGTACTCGCGGCCGCCGTTTCCATCTTCTAACGGCACATATCCGCCTTGAACGCCCTTGGCCTCAAACACGTCGCGGAAGTTGTAGATGTTTCCGAAGAAGGTGAAATCGTATTTGTCTTCCGCGCTCTGCGAATCTTCTGCTTCTTTCTTCTCCAACTGACACAAGACATGGCGTCTGCCCCTAGGAGGAAGCGCGCCGAACGGCTTCAAGCACTCGACTTCTGAAGTGCTCTTTCGCGCCCAGCCCGCAGGCAAGTCTGGCCAGTCAAACCCATCGACTGGGAAGACAGCGCTCAACGCGGGAAGGGACGTCAACAGCCCCTTGCTCACTTTGAACTTCAACACCAGCTCCACCACGCGCAGCGCGGCGTTGGCGTTCTCGCCGGCCGCGTGCAGAACAACCTGCCAAGGCTCGAGGCCGACCTTGTCAGGGTCCGATGGCCCCATTTGGGCAGGGGCGCCGTTCAGGATCTTCACCTTCTCCTGGGCTTCCAAGCTTTTGAGGTCGCTCGCTTGCAGCCCGGTGCCTTCCTGCTGCAAGGCGCTTCGGGTCATGGCCAACAGTTGGTAGCCAAACGCGTTCTTGCCCAAGTGGCAGATCTGCACTTGCCACAGCTGGGTCTCCAACGAGGTGTCTTCGAAGGTCCACGTCGCGCTTCCCCACGGGCGAACGGTTGCCACTAACTCGGCCTCGCCGTCGACGCTGGCAACGTCGCCGCGCTTGGCGACCTTGCCGGCGTCGCCAAGCTGAACGTGGCAAGCAGCGAAGCGACGCTTCATGGGCGGGCTAGGAATTCGCGGCCGACAGGGGCCGGTCTTTGCGCGGAGGCTGCTTGGGCAAAACGGCGAGAGAAGCGCAAAGCAACCTGGCAGACAACAGCGCAAGCGCGGCAACCCAGTCTAGACGCCTTTTTCTTCGGTTTGCGTCGCAGCGCGGCAAGCTGCAAAGCCGCTCTACTCGGCAGGTTCTTCAATAGCTGGCGCAAAGTGCTCGGCTTCCAGGGGCAGCACACGTCGCTTCTTTTTGCTTGAGCAGTTCCCGTCTTCGGGCGGCGGTCGGTAAGAAAACTGCCGCGCACTAGACGGAGGCCGGTGGAACCACAGGGGCTCGCTGAGCTTCTGCACGTTGGTCAGCATCAGGCCCCACGTGGTTTTGAAAGGTAGGGTTTTGCTCGGATGCAAGTGCTGGGGCGCTTGCCGGAGATACTCTTCCAGCGTCAAAGGCCCCGCCGCTTCAACACGCGCTGCCGCGTGGATGCGATCCTCCACCCCAAGCCAAACGCGCCCGCTGGGGCCGTTCTTTACCCTGAAACCCCGGAGCTCCAGAGTCTTGCGTCCGTCCAAAATACATTGCAGCCACGGCAAGTCGAACAGGAGAACGGGGTCCCTGAGGCTGGGGCCCACGTGCTCGGCGACAACTGGCTCAGGGCCCGCTTCTGGCAAAGCGCTCGTTGCAAACGCAACTTCTCCGGACGCCGTCATTGGCAAAGCTGGGAGCTAGCAACTTTCACGAAAGCCTAGAATCGCTTGAGCCGCCGGCGCGAGCGTTGTTCACGCGCGCAGGTCAGCAAGAGCTTGCGCAATGGCATCCCATCTCGCGAAGGCGAAACCTTTTCCGCCGCGAAGCTCGTGCGAAAGTGCGATCAACCGGCTACTGCACTGGCCGGGGGGTCCGCGACTTGCTTAATACGGCAAGGGCAGAGTCATCTACTCAGCGCTGCCTTGACCTTCCGCCGCAAACCTTGTCGTCTTCGCGGCGGCGGGGCCCTCAGAATTCGAGCCAGACGTCGCGCGGCTGCCTAGCGCGCAGGCCGCTCGCCAAATTCATATCTTCGCGCTGGCTTTCCCCCCGGCCTTCGCCCGAGCGCTTGAGAGCAAAGCGTCCTGAGCAAAACGCAAAGCGCGCAGGCCGTCCAAGTCGCGCAAAGAAATATGGCTCCTCGTCCGCGCACGGACTTCGGCGGCAAGTCGGCCGGGCTTTCTCTAAAGACATTCCAGCCAATTGACCCGCGCAGGCGGACGTAGGGGATGTCTTGCGGGCACAACTCGACGCGTTCGAGGCACAGGCCGTAAGTGACGGGGGCGTACGGCTGCCGGCCTTGCCAGCAGTGTTGCGGCCTGAGGCACTCAAAACTTTCGTCGTTCATGGCAAAGACGTCTGCGACGTAGGCCCTTCCCTTGACGCGGCCGTCGTGGGCCAACCACACCGAGCCTCTTTGGCAGCTTCGGTGCCGCAACTCAATCGTCTTGCGCCCAGACAAGATCAAGCCCAACCAATACTCCTTGGTCACCATGACGCGGTCGCCGACCCGCGGCCAAGCCAGGCAGAAGCTTCCCGATGATGATGCACTTGGTGCACCCGGACAAGTGCACGGACCCCCGCGCTGGAGAGGCCTTCGGTGAGATGCAGAGCATCAAGAGCTTGGCGGTCGTCAGTGATCCAGACGCTACTCGCCAGCGGCCCATGACTGAGCTGGAGGGGCTTCTGCACCGCGCGCTGTGCGAGATCCGAAATCCGGTGGAGACCGCCGCAGAGGTCATCAATTTCTGTGACGGCCTTCTCCGTCGGCGCAAGCGCCTTGAGAGATCTGTGTGCCAGGAAGCCTTGGCGAGGCTCCAGTGGCTCAACCTCAATGATGCCAACCTCGAGGAAGCTGAGTCGGTGCGGGAGCTCCAACGCATCTTTGAAAGGAGGCTCTCAAAGGCTCTTGCGGAGGTTCAGGAGCAGACGGAGGAGCCGGCCGAAAAGCCGGCTGAGGCCCGAGGAGACGGAGGCCCAGGAGCAGACGGAGGCCCATGAGCCGGCAGAGACGGAAGGAGGAGACGGAGGCCCAGGAGACGGAGGCCCATGAGCCGGCCGAGGAGCCGGCCGAGGAGCCGGTCGAAAAGCCGGTCAAGGAGGCGGCCGAGGCCCAGATGGAGACGGAGGAGCAGACGGAGACGGAGGCCCATGAGCCGGCCGAAAAGCCGGCTGAGGCCCAGGAGGAGACGGAGGCCCATGGGCCGGTCGAGGAGCCGGCCGACGAGCCGGCGGAGCAGATGGAGACGGAGACGGAGGAGCCGGCGGAGCAGATGGAGACGGAGGTCAAGGAGGAGGAGGTGGAGGAGGTAGAGGAGGAGGTAGAGCTTCCGACACCGGCCCAACTGGGGCACTACACGCAGTTCAAGGAGCAGTTTACCGAGCCTCCCGAGGATAACCTAAAACACCATCGCCTTGTTTGGGAGCGGACGGACGTGTTCACCATCAGCAACGCTCTGCAGCTCGACGCCGTGCGGCGATGCCCCGACCACAGTCTCTTTGATGTGCTGATGAGCCTGTTCAAGCGCTCTGTGAATGTGGACCAGGACGGCGTTGGGTGGATTCCCGTGCTCCTGCGCCCAGGCCGCACCGCGCCTGGGCTGAAGGGGCGGATCTTCTCCGGCATCGGTCGGGTGCCCGCACAGGAGGCGCCTGCCAAAAAGCGCAAAGGCAATGAGGGCGCCGTGGATTCCGCTCGGGCAGAGTTCATGAAGCAGCTGCCGCCGGAGATTCGCAAGGAGATCGAGATGGGGGTCCCAGACACGCTTGTGGGGCGCTCTGCGTTTGCCTTCAAGAAGTTGGTCCGCTACATCGCGCGGCATCGCCTTGGAACCGCAAGCTGGACATCAAGAACTTGTTCTTCCAGCTCTTGAACCGACAGAAGCCGCTGCCGCCCATCATGGCGGAGTACCTGGACCACCGTGAGGAGAAGCTCGCGCAGATCGGCCGCGTGCTCTTCCACAAGCTGCCCGAGGCCCGCCGGCGCAGCGTGGCGAAGGAGCTGATGATTGCCCTGGGCTTTGGGGGTGGTTTCGCAAACTGGACGAGCAAGGTGCTGCAGGACATACCCTTGGCTTCGGATGAGGGGGAGCGCGGCGAGGTGGCTGCTTGGCTCTACGGCTTCGAGACGGCGGCGCGCCTCTACCACGTGGCCGTTTTTGAGCTGCTGCCACAGAAGGCCAAGGACTGGCACATGGAGCAGGGCCGCTCCACTGCCTCGGGGGCCTTTGCCCTGTACGCCCACCACGAGAGGTTGCAGATGGAGAAGATGGCGGCGGCAGCGGGCAGGGCCTTCAACGACCACCAGCACGACGGCATCGGGGCCCTCCGCTCCGCGAGCGAGGCCGTGAAGCGAGCCGTGGATGTCGAGGTGGTCGTGCACGAGCTGGAGGACCCGTGGGCATACGCGGCGGCGAAGTACCCCAACTTGGATTGGAGACTCAAGTCGAAGATGGAGTTCTCCGGGTACCACCAACTGCTCCAGCGCTGCAGGCAGCACGTCATACTTGGACGGGCGAGGGCAAACACCGTGGACTTTGCGAAGCTGGCGGCGGCGAAGCTGGTCCCGGTCGTACACGTTCCGGTGGAGGGGGGTGAGAAGAGGACCACCTACGAAAGCTTCGAGAAGGGAGGCTTCTGGCTGGTGCGAAACCGGGACGACTTGGGCCAGACCGTGGAAGACCTGATGAACAAGATGTGTTGCCCGGTCTTCGAGACAGCCGATGAGAACTGCGTGCCGCCGCCGCCCCTCAACGATAATGCCTTCTTCACCGGTCTGTCCTCGTCCGTTCTGGGGCGTCTGGCAGGCCCGCAGATGGCGGACCTCGACGGCGACGAGACACGGCACAAAATCCTCTTTTGCGACGGCATGCTCTACGATTTCAAGGAGCGTGTCCTCCGATCACCGATCCCCGCCGACCGCATGGGCTTCCACGCGGCGGCGACCTCAGAGATGTGGCAGCCGAGCAAGGCGACCAAGCTCTTCGAGCACATCCTGGCTTTCTTGAAGGAGCATGTGGAGACGGGGGTGTGTCTGCTCGAGGCCAGCGAGAATGGCAAACAGGTCATCGAGTGCTTCGAGGAATTGGAGCAGGACGGGTGCGAGATCCTCCGCCACATGAAGGTGTACGGGGACTGGGACTCCGTCCTGTACGAGCTGCGTCTCATGACCAGGGCCATCTCCGCGACGCCGCGGTTCTGCGAGATGTACTACATCTGGGGAAGCCAGGATTCCGGGAAGGACACCAAGGTGAAGATGTTGCACGCCTTCTTCGGTCACGGCCAGGACAACTACGGGGTGCAGCTTCCGGGAAACTATGTGGTGCAACAGACTCGCTACCTGACCGCGAAGGACGGACCCGCGCCTTACCATGCAAGGACTCCAGGCAAGCGGCTGGCCTGGGCCAGTGAAGTCCCCGAGCACTACTCGTTGGCGGATGACTTCATCAAGCCCTTTTGTGACATGGAAGGTGCGCCAGTCTGCAGCAGGAAGCTCAACAAGGGTCCCCGGGACTTCATGCCTACGGCTTTGCTGGTGGCAACAAGCAATCACCCTCCCCGTGTGACTCGACCGGATGGGATGCTGCGGCGGCTTCGAGTCTGCCAGACAACGGTCAGCTTCACCTTGAAGCCGTCCATGGCCACCGAGGAGCGAGCCGTGGATGGCCTCAAGACCCGGATAAACCAAGGAGAGTTCAACAAGTACATGTTCTTCCTTGCGGCAAATCTCGTGGACTCGTTGGAGATGGAGTACAACCCAGGCACCGAGATCAAGCCGCAGCCACCGGAGATGAAGATGAGCGCCATGGACCTGGTCCCATGTGCAGACAAGGACGAGGAGGCCAAACCCGAGGCCTTCATGGCGGAGATGTGTGAGCTGGTGCCCTTCAAAAAAGCAAGCCTCCACACGGAGCTGACGATGGCGCTGAAGACAGCGCCCGGACATGAACGGGGACCTGAGGCTGGGCTTCGCCTCGGACGACTTCGCAGGAACGAAGTGGAAGAATTTAACGGGGACGACTTCAACGTGCGGGACCCGCGGAAGCTGTACCAACTTGCGAGGCAGCGCGACCTTGACGTGACGCAGGCCATGGCCTTCGAGGCGCTGAAGGCCGACGTGGGCCGGCAGGTGCAGGCGCCCCGGCCGCGTGCGCTGGGCAAGTCGGCCGCGAGGGGCCGAACGACCGGCTGCAGGCCGACCTCATCGACTTCAGCCAGAACACGCGGGGGAAGACGAAGTATGGCCTGGTGGTGATGGACGTCTTCACCCGGGAGGCCGCCGTGGAACCTCTGCAGAACAAGAACGCCGAGACGGTGGGCCGGGCCACCAAGCGCGCCGCGCGGGAGCTGACGGGGGACGACGGGAACTTCGTGGTCACGACAGACCTGGCAACGAGTTCGCCACGCTGGACTGGGAGCTGCCCGCGGAAGCCGTGCACCGAACGAAGCGCCCGGAGGACCGCAACGCCACGGCCGTGGTGGACCGGGGAATCCAGACGCTGAAGAAGGACCTGGCCACGCGCGTGGCCCGCAAGGGCGGCCAGTGGAGCGACCACTTTGAGCAGACCGCTTCGGCCTACAACGCGCGGCCCCACGAGACGGTGCATGGCGCCCCGGAAGACGTGGAGAAGCAGCCGGCCACAGAGTTCAGGGTCCTCCAAGACAACGCCGACAGGTTCCAGCA